TCCTGCCAATTTCAATTAATTATTTTATTATTATTTTTCTAAAGAGCTCCAATGACATCCTTATCCTCTCAAGTTTCAACCTTTCCCAAGATTTCTTTTATTTTTTTAAAAAGTTTCCGCTCGTAGACTGGGCCCATACTCATATTTATATCTCCAATTTCCTTAATTCTACATCGTCACTTACATTCGGAAAATTGCAGTTAAGCCTAGATCAATGGATGGTTGGTGATTATTTAGTTTTTTCTTTCTTTCTTACTGCACCCCTACTTCAACTTTTAGACTATTTTTCAATAATAGTTGTTTCAGTTAGTAATTATTAAAAAATCCGTCATAACTTCTAAGGTCATGACTTCAAATTTCACTACTAATTTAAAGGCTTTATTGATAAGTAATTTGTAAATATTTCTATAAACACTCTCTAAATTTAGAGTTATGTCATAGCTCTAATGACTTCTCAGAACTCAACTTATTTAAACTTCTTTATACCTGAAAAAAAAATTTTCACTATTTATCATAAATCCTACCATATGGTATAGTATGTGAAAAGACCTCTTCTTAATACATAATTATAAAATCACTTTTTAAGATGATAATTATGGTAAAAAAAGAATTGAGTTAGAATGTTAAAATACTACCATAGTTATAAAGAGTTTGTCTTATTTCGAAAATATCCCAAAAGCTCAGGATACATAAAACACCTATAAGTTTAACAACACGTACAACAAGGACTCAGGACACAGTAATCGCTCACAAGTTCAATATAACTATTCATCTCATAAAGATTTAAGGCACAAGAAACACAGAGTGTTTAACCCATCCCACAAGTCATACACATAAGAGTAACACATAAAATAAAATTTTATGGCCTCCAGCCATTCTAACAGCACTCCATCAAATACAGTCATTCAACATTCAAACAAAAAAAAGTATATGTTAACAAAATCATGGGCCATAAGATGGCAATATATATGTAATATTACATGCCCAAACCAAAAGAGGACTACTAGGTTATGCTCGGTTTTGCCTCTGGTTGCTTTCCTTCGCTCCGAGTCAAACTAGATAGCTCTTCTAAAAAGCATTGATGAATAGCAGGGGTGAGACATAAAATCCCAGTAACTAAAAATTAATTTATGACATATATAAGTAGGATGACAAGTTGGTGAACTAGTGTTTAAATATAATTTAAATAATAAATAAAGTTTTAATAGATATAACCATATGAAAGGAGCATACCTCACCATCCACAACCCAATTCATACAAAAGTATACATACACAACAACATAATGAAATATATCCTCCCATCACCATACTCCTTCTTATGACTCCCTGATAAGGACCTGGGCTTTCTGTACTGAGTAACCCAGCCAAAGGTCACCCCACTCATGTCAAGCAACAGGCCGCCTTCTATATTTACACAGCCCAAAAATGGATTATGGTATAAGAGGTGTTTACCTAAAAGCTTGTTCTCAATTTCAAACCAGGGAAAAGAAAGAACTACAGGGGTTTAACAAAAAAAAAAAAAAGCCAAACACTATGATCAATAGTGTAGGCATGCTGCGCAGGCTTCAAAAACAATTATTCTTCATATATCAAAATCTCAACCTCTACATCTAGACCCCATGCATAATTACAATATAAATGAAAAATATCACAATTCTTAAAATTAAGATGATATAATTCCAAACAAAGTATAGCACATTTTTATTTTATTTAATAACAAAATATTAGTATACCAAATTCAGCACGTGAAAACATAATTTTCAGTAAAATACAACTCAAGCATAATTAAATCAACATAATTCCCACTTCATTAGAATTTGTCATATAAGAAAATACATATTTTATTCATAGACATACTTTCATAAATTAATTTGAGAAGATAAAAGCATAGTAAACATCTTGCAATCCAAAGCATGTATATAAAATAAATTAACCCTAGTTATCTCTATTCCAAGCTTAACCTCATAGTTTGAGAAATAAGAGCACAAATTATAAATTCCGAGATACAAGATAATATACAAATAATATAGATACAATTTAATATACATGGAAATAAATAACTTAAATTATATAGGACTTATTATTATTAATATATTTACATATATTTACTACCCAAAAATTCTTATTTCAAATAAAAATTTTCCTCTACCCAAATAACTCATTCAAATTATATATATAACTGTTTTTTTTATCTAATATTGTAAAGTTCTTAATTTATAACTTAATTTTCAGCTTCAGAATTTTCTAATAACATATCCTTAACCTATTTCAAATTTTAAACTGATTAAAATCTTAATAATATATTAAATAACCTAAATAAATTATTTAAATTAAATTTAATCAGTAAAAATATTCTATATATCTTGAATAATACATTTTCAACTAAAATTTAGTTTAAAATTCTCAAAAAATAAATAAATACATATAAACTGATTATATATCAAATAACCCAAATAAATTATTTTACTTAATTTTAATCGGTATAAATATGATATATATCATAAATGACAGATTTTTTAACAAAATAAATTTTATTTTAAATACCAAAAGTAACAAATGGACAAATTTAAACCGATTAAAAGTAACTACTTATTTACTTCTAAATTTCTATAGTCATCTATTGTCAAAACTCAATATTTACTCTATACCCAAATTACAAAATTTTCTCTAAATATTATAATGATATTACTAATATAAAGCTCTAATTATATATGAAAATATTTATGAAGAAAATTTAATAGAAAGAAATGTTTTTATATACTTAATGATCTTTAAAGCTTGTATTACCTTTTAAATTGCTAACACTTTCCTGCCTTTCTCTTGATCCCTCTTTCGGCACCTATCACTCTCTTTCTCTTCTTTGCTAATACCTCCCTCCTCCATTTATCTTTCTAACTTCAACCGTTCTCCCCTATTTTTCCTTCTTTCGTTAATACACCTCCCGTGTTTCTTCCTTCAGTAAATGACTTCCCTCCAATATTATTCTTATTCTTAAATGTTCTCACCATTCCACCTAATTCAGTGGAAAATGTGTATTTTTTTCACTTTCTCTTTTTTAGATAAAATATTATTATTTTACATTATTTAATTATTTTCTTTTGAAATAATAATGTTTTTTTTTAAGATTTTGCAATATGCCCTCTCATTACCAAGGTAACGAAAGTGGGACAGGCTATGAAATAATGATTGGAAGGTTAGTGATTTAATTATGATTAAATTTGGGTCAACATAATCATAATTAAAATATTGTACTTTAATTAAAATATATGAAAATATTATAAAAGAACCTAACCCCTAAAAAAATAATACTTAAAATTAAAATTTACAAAACCTGCCAATTTTATGTCAATTCAAATTTAAATTTAACCTTTTGAAAGTTCTAGTTTTTGTCATTGAATTTCTCGTCGTTGCTTTTGCTATTAAGTTATTGAGAGAAACCATCATATCAGAGTAAATAACGTGGCGGTTGACATGGACCTCTTAAACTTCAGGTCAATTACTGTTTGAGTCTAAGAAATTAGAGTAATATACATTAGTTATTTTTTTTATTTCATTTATAAACTACATATAATCCAACAAAACAAAGTTATTCAAGCATAACTCTAATGGACTGTTATTACTTTTTTGAAACTCAAAATGACAGGGTTTGACCGTAAACTCTTGATTAAACTCGCTTAAAAACTGGTTTATTGGCTCGCAAGGTTAACTAAACAACTGTGTTTAATACCATGATACTCTTCTAGTTTTATTTATAGGGCAAAAAAAGATATTTTTTCCCTATTTATAGAATATTAAGAGAAATTTTTTTGCCTAGATATACAATTTTACCTTTTAGTTATTATTATGTTAACTTTATTTACATAAGGTATAATATGTATTAAATAGGGATACATTTACATTTATAGTTATATTGTGTAAAGGCGAAAATCTTAGTGAAAAAGGGAATTCCAGTATAATAACTCGCATGAGTTGAAAAGTTGTTAAATTTTAAGTGAAAGTTAACAAAATTTAAGATTTTTTTTAATCTGTATAAAAGATATTAGAAGTGAGTTATAAATAGCATAAGAGGAGTAATTCATTAGTCATCAAACAAATTTAGTTAGAAGGACACAAGGAATTTATTCCCCCCTCGTGCCTCTAAGCATATTAATATATGCAATAGGCTTAGATTGTCGTGACTTCACATCTAATTATGAATCTCTCCACTTCAATGGAAACCATTTATCTGTCTATAATTTGGAATTAAAGATGGGATTTTTTTTTTCTCAACTAAAAGATAAAGGTTTTAAATAGTTCTCATGATAACAATAGATATTAAAGGATTTTCATGCTAATAATATATGATTGGCAAGATTATTTTATAAAAAAAAAAACTCATTTATTATAAATAATTACTTTAATTAATTTTTTAATATTTATAAATTAATTATTTAATTTTTATATTAAGAAGCAGAGCAGAAAAAGTTAAGAAATAGCCCGCCATGTTCATTTGCCATGACCAGTCTCTCTCTCTCTCTCCCGCCGTCCCCCCCTGGGTTTTTTGGAATTTTTTGGACTGGCTGGTGGGGACGGTCTGAAAAATACCCATCCAGGGTGATTTTACAACCAGCTTAAAGAATGTTTGACTTTTTTGCCCTTATCTGGTCTGATTTTAGACACGGTTTGAGAGCCATCTTTACCGGGTTTAGAAAGTCATTTTAGTACTAGCAAGTGATTGATCGCTAATTAGCTGTATTTATATTTTCTTGCTTGGAGCTTGTACGTGAACCATCTTATATCATAACTGAATTACACTCAAGGTTTTTTATATTTAATAATATAAAAAAAACAAAGTGATCAATCTTTAAAAACAATTTGGTTTTGATCAGCATCGTTTTGGAAAAAGTTGATTATTTATTTTGCAAATTTTAATTTTCGGGATCCTGAATCTTATTGAGAAGGGACGATGCACAATTAAGGGAAATAAAACAAATAAAACCTTAACTAACTCCATCAAATTATAAAATTTGGCATAGAAATACATCAAGAAATCAAACTCGTCCATATTATTCACCTATAACAAATGTTATCGCATACATCATCACAAGAAGAAATACCCTATGAGATATTCATTTTATTTTAAACCCTATTATTCGTGAAAGTATCGAATACAAACAGAAATAATGAATATAAAAGTATCATTGAAACAATTCAAATTAGATTAAGAACAATCTTCGAAACTTTATGAAATAATGACTAGTAGCCATGAGAGGGAGGAGGAGGTGATTTATAATAGTAACTTGGAGGAGGAGGAGATGATGGAGGAGGTGGAGACTGGTAGATGTACGGCGGAGGGGGGGAGGGAGAAGGAGGAGGCGGAGACTTGTAGTAATATGGAGGAGGTGGAGATGAGGATGGGGGTGGTGGAGATTTGTACACATATGGTGGAGGAGGTGATGGGGATGGTGGAGGTGGAGACTTGTAGATATAAGGAGGTGGTGGTGAAGGAGATGGTGGGGGTGGGGACTTGTAAATATATGGAGGAGGCAGTGATGGGGATGGGGGTGGTGGAGACTTGTACACATATCGTGGAGGAGGTGAAGGTGAAGGAGGAGGGGGAGATTTGTAATATATGGAGGTGGTGGTGATGGAGATGGAGGTGGGGGCGACTTGTACATGTATGGTGGAGGTGATGAAGGAGATGGTGGAGGTGGAGACTTGTAGTAATACGGGGGCGGTGGTGATGGAGATGGTGGAGGAGGTGATTTGTACACATATGGTGGAGGTGGCGATGGAGAAGGAGGAGGTGGAGACTTATAGTAATATGCAGGTGGAGACTTGTAATATGGAGGTGGTGGTGAATGAGAGGAGGAGGAGGCGATTTGTACGCATATGTGGAGGTGGTGATGGAGATGGAGGAGGTGGTGACTTATAGTAATATGGAGGCAGTGGTGATGGAGAAGGCGGAGGCGGAGACTTGTAGTAATATGAAGGTTGGGGTGAAGAAGCTGGTGGAGGTGGAGAATAAGGGTCATAATCAGCACTAACACTATTGATAGCAACTAGGCAAATTGCCGTTGCGAGTATGATTTGAGGCCACTGCCTTGGCTTCATTACTTCCCATGATCTTCTTCTCTCTAGCTATCTCCAACTCTCTCTCTCTCTAATTTGCTTGGTGATCTAACATGGATTATCCAACCCTTTATATAGTTATAGCACTTGACCGTGGCTACCAAAATTTATTATAATTTAATGCATTAATTAATTAATTAATCCTTGGCACTAATGCTTCAAAGGCTGAACAAGGCGGTTTCAATATGAAGCAGCTTCCTTGTTATTTCATAGTACGTGTACTTCCTATTATGTAAAGTACCACTTAAAATGTTTAATATAAGGTCTAGCTAATTAATTTGAAAAAATTAAAGAAGCTAAATAAATTATTTAATTATGAAAAATGTTACATGATCTTTTTAAAATATTTTGTATGTGTATTATTAGATTATATATCAGTTTATTAGACAAATTAGTTTGAAAAAAATAATAAATATAAATGTTTTAAGATGATTTATTTTTTTATTAATTTTTTAAATTAGTTTACAGGTCTTCTATTAGGCACGGGAGGTAAAATTTAAAATTGAGAATATGGTTCTGATTGTGTGGATTATTTCCAAGGATGTGTGGGCCATATGGACAAAGTCAATGGAAGGAGTTGGTGTGGACACACATGGTGGGATTATTTAGAGGGAATATGATGGTAAAAAGAGCGTGTGGGGGAGAATACGTCTTCTGATCTTTTCATCATAATATATTAATTCAATTTAAAAGATGTAACCTAATTATTACTCTTCTGGTCATTAATATAAGACATAATTGTTGAATTAATTTTGGATCTCTCTCAATCAAAATCAGTAGAAGAGGGAGAAATGATATTAAAAAAATGATTATGGTATTTTAAGAAAAATATGTCATATTTCTTATAATTAACTAATTTACCTAACTTCTTTAATCTAATCAAATTAGTTAAAAAATATTTATATTAAGAACCGGGGAGTATAATAATCAGTCAAATGGGAAACAGGCATAATAATTCTAATGTGAAATCTCCTCCTCTAGATTTTCTTATGCTGTTTACTTTCTTCCAAATGGCATATATTTTATGAATTATATTTTATTAATGGACCCAACATTTCATCCACTTCGTATACACAGTCAATTCGATTCGATATATAAAATACAAATAAAAAAATTACCTGAATAAAAAATTTAGTTGAAATTAGCTAAAAATTACCGAAGCTGGACTCTCATGTATACTTTATGTCCTCATCTGACATGAAGGGCTGAATCCAGATAGTTTATCCATTGATCAACCTTTTATATTGTTTGAATAAATTAAATTTATCTTTTTATTTAAAAAAATGGCTCAACTTATTATACAGGGAGAATTGCTATAAAACTCTAAATAAGAAATATAATTATTAAAAATTTCAATAACAATAAAACGGCATATAATAACAAGGTCTAGAATTTAAAAAATAGCTTCTTACTTTATTATTAAAAAAATTTTAATAATTATTTTTTCCTTAAAAGCTGCTCATTGGAATTCTCTCCGCTACATAAAAACCAAACCATGGTTTCAGAAGTGCTTTTACGGATTACGAAGTAAATATGTGGAAGAAATTACCTCGTTTTGCGGAAAAGTGCTTCTGAAACCATGGTTTTGGGTTTTCCAAACACCCCCTTTGGCTAAGGAGACGACACAGTCATCTAGTCCCAGGCATAATTTAGTTTTGTTTTTTTTAATTGTTGTTTTGCCATCAGTACCACCTGTTTATCATAGTTGGACATTTTTTAATCATTATGATGATTTTTTTATTTATTAGATTAATTACATCTTTCAAATTGAAGTTGCTTGTTTTAATTTTTAATATTCCTGCACGTAATTAAAGATGTGTGTCTTTACAATATGCAAATTTTGAATTTCAATTTTTCCAACCAACTTTTCCTTCCCATATAATGATTTTGACAACATTTTGGATATATAGATAATCCAATTCTATTTATAAGTCACTCTTAATATGTTTTGTAAGAATTAAGAAAAACTTTAAATTTTATCAACTCTGTCTTAAAATTTATCAACTTTTCAACTTTTTTTTTTCTTTGTAATAAACAACTCCACCCCTAATAAATATTTTTATTTTTTATTAAATTTTTTTCTATTAATCGCATATGTTAAACAATGTTTCTATTAATGTGAGTCATGATTAAATATGATAATTTAGAAAACTCAATGCATATTTATTATCAATAATAACTAATTTAATTGATTTTATTAATATCCCTAAATTAATTATTTAACTTGTGTATTTAAAATCAAACTTCGTTTATAATTATTAGACCAAGTTTTGCATATGGCGACATCTTCTTTGTTCTCTATAATAATTAATGTGAACACACAAACACGGTCGTCTATTGTTTAGCCATTGCACACGTTTCAACTGCTCATATAACACGTTGTTGTGTTAAAACATTGCTGTGTAAAGTATATTTGGTGTCGGCACCAAACTTTCTCTGACTTTTTTTTACACGGTGCAGGAAAAATACTCCTTCAATTATTCTTGAATGGGACAATACTTTATTATAAATAAGGATATACTATAATACTAGTATTAATAAATCTGTGCAGATAAAAAGGTTAATTAAAATTAGCTAATGCTGGTCAAATTTTAAAAGTTTGTCTTTCAAAAAAAAAATCATCGATTATAACGAACTGTTTAGATTGGATAGGGAATCACTGTCCGAATAGCTACAAATGCTGAGATTGGAAAATATTTGTAGCGCTTTTTGGCAATGAAGCGCTTCTAATATTTGAAACCAATTCTCCTGCCATGTAAAGCCAACTGTTCACGTCACAATTTTGTAGCAGTTGCATGCAAAATCACTATTAGTGTCATTGGTCCTGTTTGACAGAGTGGTGGAAATCTCCTATAAGTATATTTCACGTAAGCCGAAATAAAACTCTTCTCACATAATTGTCTCGTATTTCGTAAATCACTATTAAAAAGTAGCTTATAAACTACTTATAAGCTGATTCAAACGGACCCATTATGAGGCCAGGTATTGCAGATTTATCATCGTTGGATGCAAAACCGTAACAAATGCTTACATTAGTTAAAATTGTGATAAGATAACTGCAGCAAAAGAAAAACAATTTTTTTTTTTGTAGCGAGTTGAAAAAAAATTCTTCCTAAAATGAATTGCATACATCGAATTAAATTGTTGCAAATTTAAGAGTCTCATTTACAAATAAGGCATTTAAGTTTCAACTGTAACTCTTAATTTACAATTAGTATTCCTATTTAATTTGCAATTGTTTGGATGGATATTTTATAAACAAGATTTATGGAAACGATATGTCACTACAAGAAAATGTTGAATTAGCAGCGGAACATTTCTAGCGGTTCAACTAAAACCGCTAGAAATTCCAACATTTCTAGCGGTTTTAAGAAACTGCTGCAAATTACCGACGGTTTGACCATTGCCCGCATATTTCTAGCGGTTATCACCTAACCGCTAGAAATTCAGAGCTAGAAAATTTCTCGGGTTTTGGCGGGAACTTGGCGCCAAAATTGTACTGTTTATTTTCTAGCGGTTCAGGCCAATAAACCGCTAGATACGGAAAATTTCTAGCGGTTGATACATGAACCGCTAGAAAGGTTTTAATTTCCTGAGGAGTTTTTATGTTACCGTTGCAATGCAGAGAAACCGAGAGAATTTCTAGCGGTTCATGTAAAAACTGCTAGAAATTGCTAGCGGTTTTTACATGAACCGCTAGAAATATCTGTAAATTCCCGAGGTGCTGTGACCGTTAGCCTTTTGTAGCGGTTTTTACATAAACCGCTAGAAATGCTCGACCTATATATACCCCTCCCTCACTTTCACTTCTTCAATCGTTCAGGAAGCGAAGCTCTGCTGAATTTTCTCCACAAAATATATTCGAGTTCTGGTTTAGTTGCAGGTCTTTATTTTCAGGTAAAAGTAGTAATTTATTGATAGATAATTTTTATTTTTATGTTTTATTTTATTTAATTTATTATGTTGTGGCTTATAAATAATTTTTCTTTTTATTTTATTTATAAATAATTACTATTTGTTGTTATTAGGATGAGTCGTCGGCTAGGGAAGGACCCAGTTGATCCTGAAAGAGCTGGACCCAGTGAGGTTCATCATGATGCTGGTGAGCCATTCCCCAGCATTCATGACTACGATCTCAGCGAGGAGGATATCCTCAGTTTTATGGAGCAGGATGATATTGAGCGGACTGAGGAGGCTCATTTTACTGGGGATGAGCAATCCCATGCTGATGCTGATGCTGCTGACGAGGAGGAGGAGGAGGAGCAAGATCAGGGGAATGAGAATCCCCAGGCTGCGCAGCGTCCTGCTCCCAGATGTCAGGCTGGTTTTGAGGTGGAATTTGTCAGTAAGTATTTATTTAACTTTTTTAAATTTTGATAAGTATTTAATTTATATAGAAATTGTATTAATTCATTGATATATAATTTATTTCTTAATTAAATTTTGCAGACACTGAGGGGAACAGGTCCTATAGGAGGCTGACAACCAGATAGCTGTCTATGATGACGAGCGGACGAGTGGTTGTGCCTTTACAATATGCAAATTTTGAATTTCAATTTTTCCAACCAACTTTTCCTTCCCATATAACGATTTCTACAAGATTTTCGACATATAGATAGTCCAAGTATATTTATAAGTCACTCATAATATGTTTTGTAAGAATTAACAAAAACTTTAAATCGTATTAACTTTGTCTTAAAATTTATTAACTTTTCAACTTTTTTTTTTTGTCATAAACAACTTCACCCCTAATAAATATTTTTACTTTTTCTTAAATTTTTTCTATTAATCGCATTTGTTAAA